AATTCAGGCTTTTTTTTTTCTTGCACATTTCTTTTTTCCCCCCACAGATGAAGGGTTGCGTAAAGGTTTTAAGAGAACAGCCACCAGACACTGTTGAAGGGCTTTTGAATGCTCTCAGGTACCTGCTGGACCAACAATATTTTATTTTGATGGGCATAATGCATGATTTCCCCCTTCCCCTCAAGGTACTAATTGCAAAACTGTAGCCCACAAAGAAATGAGGTCAGCCATCCGGTATGAAGGGCATACTATTCAGCCATCCGCCCGAATAGTATGAATGTTGTGTTTTAATTATGTATTTGTCTTATATGTTAAAAGTTTGTCTCCCCCCCCCCTTTTAAGTTTTGAGCCGCCCTGAGTCCCCCCAGGGAAAAGGGCGGCATATAAATAAACTTTAAATCTAAATCTAAATCTTGCATATGTGATAGTATAATGCGGATATAATGACAGCTGATGCTATTATTATTTTTACTATAGTTGTTATTAGTCTACAGTCCATAGTTATTGTTTCTATGTTGACCCGTGTTAATCCCATGACTTTGGGTATATTTGGTATCAGTTATTAGTTATTCTCAAAATGGCTTTGGAGGAAAATGTTCTATAATTAAGAGCAAAAACTCTACAGATTAAATCTGGGACTCAGCTCTATTTCTGTGAAGGGATGTGTAGAATTGTCTTTCCCACCCATGGAATTAATACCAGCCTTTGGATTTTTGTCTTTGTCACTTTTAGGTTCACCACAAAACACCTGAATGATGAATCCACTTCGAAGCAAGTTCGAGCGATGCTTCAGTAATGCCCCTCCCTCTTTGAGAAATGGACTTTTAAATTATTTAGAGAAGGTGTTTGTTTACATAATTTAATAGTTTGTGGTGGTGTTAGTAAAGATGCATAATTTACACGATATAACAATTGATTTCTTCCCGTTGCTGCAGTGTGTGTGGATCTGTATCAATAACATGACTGACTTCGTAATTGCACGACATCCGTTTATGTGCTTGTATTACCATTCAAAAAGTTTGAAGAGGTACCTTTTAATTTGAATATATAAATAATGAAAGTGTCTGTGTGCCTTTGTTTTTTGTTTGTGTTAAGAGGGTTGTGTTTTGGGGAGAGGTGTTGTGTGTGTGTGTGTGTGTGTGTGTGTGTGTGTGTGTGGCTGTATGCAGAATAACTCTTTGGGATAATCTCTTAACAGTCATAATTCTTGACGGTGTGCCTGTGAAGATCTTGGTGCAACACCCACCCACCCCTTCTTGGTCTCCACGTTCATTTAACTTTTGCAACACCGAGGGCATGTGTTGTGTGGAGCAAGGAGTATGTTCCAGTTACCCAGTTCTTTCCGAGACTGGTAGACTCCTTTTCTAACAAATTTAGCAGGGTTTTCACCAAGGCCTGCACATGTATATACAATAATTTTGTTAAGTTTTTAAATTTATATGCGTAATGCTTGCCTTGTGCCTTTAGGCAGATCAGTGAGCTATGAATTATGGATGTAAACTAACGCCAGCCGAGTTTTGATGTAGAACTCTCAGCTTATTAAGCCAAGATAGAATATGTGTAAGAATTGCACCCTTGCATTCTCTCATTGTACTACCTTCTCTTTCTTTTCATTGTGAACCATAAACAGTGCTTCATGGATTAATTAGCCATACTTTCTTATCCTGTCCATACCTGGAAATTTTCCTTCCTAGTATCAGAAGAAGCCCCAAGTCTTAAAACAGACTTCCAACTGGAGGAGAGAAGGAACAGTGCAAGGACTTATATGCAGCACAAGGCCTGTGCATCTCTTGACTCAGTAACGCAAGACACATGTCCGTTCAAACCAAGCCAGAATGCAGGACTGTGCAGAAACCTAATGAGAGACAATGCTGTTGTGTAGAATATTGCCTGTGTCTATGTATGCTTGTGACCATACCAACAGCAGCACTGAGTCGCCTCGTGGTGTAAGGCACTTTTTTTTGCTGTTTTCTTCATCCTTCTCTCTTAGAAGATTGAAACGTGACCGATCACAACGATTCCTTAACCGCGCACAGCATCTTGCCATTAATATCTGTGCCATTTTTCATTTAGGCCCTTACTTAAGGCCTAGTTCTTTCTTTGTATAACATCCAATAAATTCACTAGGAAAATAAGGGGTGGGGGGGAGACTTTTATTTTTGACATTTTTAAAGATGTATTTAATAGGTGTTTCACAATTCAAGCAACTTGCAATTGTAATTCAGCTATCTCTGTTAACTGTGTTGTGCATTCTAATGCTGAAAGTGAAGTGGCTCTGCTTCACTCCACTTACTATGATCCACATAGTAAGATTTTTTAAAAATATAAAAATAAATAAATAGTTTTATTCGTGCCGTTGGAAGATATCTTGGGTAGAAAGAAGACTCTCTCATGAAACCTGGTTCAGTTGACTGCGTGGCATGATTAACTCTTAATATATCTATTCCTAGGAATACAACTTGTAAAATTAATTTTCTGAGCAACATCATATCTGGTTTTACACCGATATTGCTAGAGTTGTTATGATTGTTTCACTTATGTATAATAGAAAGAAATACTTCTGAAAAACAAATGTGAGTTTACCTTCCAGGGGCCCCAAATCATGCTATCTAAACAACAGTCAATAGTTTTTAGTGACACTGCAGTTGCTGCCAATTTCCCTTGATAGTTTTGTGTTACCCAACACTAGTGATTTGGGAATGCAGCTCTTGGTACACACCAGGGGTGGGTTTGTCGCCCCGTTCCAACAGGTTCGGTTGGAACGGGGCCGGCGGCGTCCTCGTGTACGCGCACAGCGCACGCATGCGTACTAGCGTCT